TCAATGACGAATACAGAGGATTATTAAAAGCACCGAGGCAAATACGAAAGCTTCTTATATAAATACCACAACAATTTGCACACTCTTCAAAGCGTAACAGATGAACATAATACAGAGGGAAAATAAAAACGAAGACAGCTATACATTATAAACTCCACAAATATAAAATAAGAATTTTATTTTATTTTTATCAAGTCGATAGTAGATGTGTTTTTGTTCATACATTGATTTTCATTTTCATATGATAATTTTATACAGAGAGAAAATTCATGCATCTGTTAATTGGAAGCTACATTACAAGAATTAACAAAAAGTCTTTTATGTTTCACTGAGAATTTTCTAAAAAAATTGTGCTTAATGTTAAAAAGTTTGATACACCCGGTATTGTCGCAGAGCTATTACAGATCTTGGGGTCCTGGAGGCGCGCGTGCATGTGTAGCCTGTAATGGCAGATGGCGTGGGGCCTGTAGTATGCCGAGCAGCTGCAGCTGAGAAAGAGAGTGAATACCAGAGGAAGAGAAATGCAAGAGAGAAAGAGGGGCAAAAGGCCGTGGACGTACTACGTACTATGTCTCGTGTCGCGAGGACCACCCAACCCTTATGATCCAGCAAAAAGAAAGTCCCCCACACGCAGCTTTTACTCACTGGAAAACCCCTACGAAAGGGAACCTGTCGGCAACAGCACTCGTGTTATTGCCTTCACGGTAGTATCCCATCCTTAACACTAGAACTAGAAGTCAAAATGTTTCAATTTATTATTTTTCGTGCAAATAAAACCGTGTTTACTTCGTTGTTTTTCTATTTTTTTTATTTCAATGTCTCTGATGGAAATTTCATGGTTTAATCGTTGATAGCGTTAGCATTCAAAAAAGATTGCCAAGAAACGAAAATTAGTTGCCCTTTTCGTCTTAACTGTCTCTAACTCTAAGTTTAAATAATTTTTTTTTTCAATTTTTAAAATTATTGATTCTGTTTTGTTACTACTGTAGTTTTGCGTATATATGTGATAAAACTCAAAAGTCTCAATATATTTACATTCAAACCGAACTTTCGTCTTCTTTCTTACAATTCTAATTATAAATACACAACAAGTCTAAAAAATATTATAAAATCAGTTAAAAATATTAAGGCATTTTACGATAATTTGAAATATCAATTAATTTATCATTTTTATTTGAAAAATAATTTGAAAAAGTAATTTTATTTAGAATTCAAATCAGATAAATCATTTGTAAATAATCTTTAATTTTAGTTAATTCGTTGAAATAAAATATAACATAATAACATAATAATTGTAACAGGATATTAAGTTTATATAATAGAATTAGAAATAAAATAAAATAAATTAAAAAATTATTTTAGTTCAGCCAAATAATTAAACAATTTGAAGAAAAATTATTTGCTTGTTTAAATAAACTAACGCAGGATTATTTCAAGATAGCATCAAGTCGAATAAGATGATATGTTACTTAAATAATCATTTTACAAATATTTCATTCAGTCGAAATATGTATTTAATGAATTAAAGTTATGCAACAAAGTTATGTAGTAAATAAAAGAAGCATTTATCACTCGTGATTTACATTAAATTTAATAACAGAAGGAGAACAATAAATATTATTTATAAATTTTTAATATATATCAAACATATGTATATCAAACATAATATTTTATAAATTGAAAATTAAATTTACATTAAATTTAATTTTCATTAAATTTAATAATAGAAGGAGAACAATAAATATTATTTATAAATTTTTAATATATATCAAATATATGTATATCAAACATAATATTTTATAAATTGAAAATTAAAATGCATACACTGAACAACACTTATATTTACGATAATTGTAAAAGATAGTGATATAGGAATAACAATAGATATTGATAGTAATGCGTAGATCTATTGATGCGTTGTACAGCTGATAAAATAATTCTTTATTAACAGGATTCACGGGGGTATAATGTAACCTCGTCTGTAGTTTCAAGTAGCAGTAACAACAACACTAGCGACAGCAGCTGCAAATCGACGAAAGAGCAGCTGTCCTCTTTAGTCACTGCCGAATTACGATTTCAGTTTCTGATTCAGTTTCTGCTTTTCGTCTTTTGGGTAGGTTTGCAATAATTCTCGAAATAAAGTAACTGCTTCCAACTATTCGTTTGAAAAATTTATACACAATGTAAAAATGTTGAAATTATATAAATACATAATGGAATTGAAATTGATTTTTAATAAAGATAAATTTACGTGATTGCCCTCCGCACAAAGATGCTTCTACAAAGATTAATAATTATTATAGATAATTGTTATGATACTGTATCAATTTTTACCGATTAAGTTATATTTATTATTGAGAATAATTGAAGTTACAAATAAATGAAATTTTCTTGTCACCAATGATTTAGGTATATTTCAATTGATAGCAGTTTTGACCATGAAAACTAAATAGTGTCAGAGCAAGATAATATTCTTTATAATTTAGGCCATTCTTTACATAATGAAAATAATTCTATGTACATATGTATGCTTCATTGAGGACGAAGCGTCGTTAACGATATTCTTCCCCTGAAGTGCAAGTGGTACACGATTATATAATATAGGAGGATGATCGCAAAGAGAACGCGTGTACGCGTGCACATCGTGTGCCGATTGGAACGCGTCTGGACGAGCAGAGGAGGGACTTAGGGTGATTTAGCCCCTGTATCGAAGTCGCATTGTATTCGTCGCCTGATTCTCGTCTCGGTGCCAGCTGTTCTTATTTTCTCTCTCTCTCTCTCTCTCTCTCTTTCTCATTATATAGCCTCTCGGCCCTTCCCTCACGTCGAAGCTTTCCTCGAAGCTTTCCTTTGTCGAACATCATCCACGTTCCTGCCAGTCGATCCGTGCCGAAATTAATCAAAAGGGAACGATCGCAAGCACGTGGACAACCCCTACTGCTCGCTACTCAAACGAAACGCAGACGCTTCTCTCCGATCAAAATATTAAATAGCGCGACCAACCCTCCAGGGCACTGGCTCCCCAACAATAAGAGGTGGTGTTCTTGCTTATGAAGGGGGCACTCGGGGGAAGGGGTACCGATGCACGGTCACGTGCCAGCCATGGGAATATAATGCCGCAACGGCCACGTGCCTGTCACGTAACGGGTGTGCGCTGAGAAAACGATCACCGGTTGCTATTCAACCACACTGATGTATCTACGTGCTACATGTATCGCCTCCTCTTCCTCTCTAATCACACGTTTCCTTTACTATGTGAAGTTTTTATTCCAACATTGAACAATGTAATATTTCTAGTTTCTTGATATTACGAAGTACATTTTTGTTGATGTAATAATATATTATAATATTATATTATTATTAATATTATATTAATATAATATTATAATATTATAAGTGTAAAGTTATAACTATATTATAATAATATATATATTATAATATAGTTATAACTTTATACTACATTTAGGTGTATTTATGTACTGGATATACCATATTTGTATAAATATAAACGATAATTATTATGTAAATATATGTATATAATTAAATATAATGTAGTATATATGTATATTTTTTATATGCATATTATATATTTATTCGCAATTATTATTAGTTGGTTATTCATTAAATGTCATTAAAACTGACACATTTTAATATGTTTTGTTGAGAATCGAATTCGTTCGTTCTGTTTCAATAAATTATTTTTTATGTACTTACTTTACTTACATGTACATATACATCTCGGATTTGATGCGATACACCCAGATGTAAAATGTATGTTAAAAGTAACAAACACTTGAAAATATTTTGCATGTATTAGTACTATCAGCTTATTTAATTTAACTTATACTTACAATTATAGTTGAAATTAAATTTTGATTAACCAATAACCAGTTCCCACAGTTTATACTGTATTTTTAATGAATTTGAAAATTTATAATTAACGTAGAAAATAAAATTTGACACGAATATTGACGATGTATATAGAATAAATATGCTATAATACATTGCAGTTAGGGGTTGAATGATGAAAAGAGGGAAACCGCACTAATCATCTGTTGAATGGGGTGGCAATAAAACCTAACCTCCCTTTTTCTGTGCGTTAACGAACTGCCGATAAATTACTTTCCTGGACATATTAATCAAGCTGCCAAAGAGTAGGTAATAAAATTTTAAACCTAAAGCGTTAAAGCTTTTTTTAAAAAAACCGTAATTAAAGTTTATTTTTTACAACAGAATGCTTCTTCCCACATAGAATGTAACAAATAGTAAATATGGTAAATCCAATAAGTGTAACATGTAACAAAATAAAATGTAATCACATATATTTGATTTCGTTAGATGTAATTATTTATACGCATAACACTAGATATTTATTAACGTGCGAGAAATTTAATTCAACAATTTAATCTTAATGAAAATTATTAAATTATATAATAATTGAAGTAAGAAATGTATTTTTTAAAGTATAAATCACTAATCTTATTGAAACGAGTTAAATATAAAATTTTAGAAATAAGAGATATTTTATAAACTAATAAGTATAAATATATTAATGACGATACTGTTTTGCGTGCCTGTTTGTATCGATGATCATGTCGGATGTGAAGCATATTGAAAGCATTTACATGTAATTTGTATTTATTAATCTTCAGTTTAAAAAATTACAATTAAAAATTTATCTAATTA